GTCTTTCTCCAGAAAGATGTTTAACCTGTTCTTCCTGCTGCTTGTCTAGTAAACACATAAAAATAGACGTGAGTCTATTATGAACACTAAAGTCTCAAAACCCCAAGCATTAGGATATAGATAGGCTGTGTTTGTGTGTGTAATTAATTTATGTTATCAGTAGGCTATTTTGACTTTAATCCTTGTGTGTTACTACTTCTCGATCTCAGAACAAAAGGCCTTGGTAATGAGAACATTTTTAACAATTTAAAGCCCCTGGACAAATTTCAGTGTGTGTGTGTGTGTGTGTGTTCACTGCTGTTGAGTGAAGGAGCTCTTTACTTTGAGGCATAATATTCAAACTATAATTCAAATTGGCAGTTTGTGACCCCCCATAGTATGGATAAGCAAATTTCATATCTGAATTTATTTGAATCACCATGAATTCCCCTTTGTAACCTGCAGTATAGTGTTGATGCTGTTGCTGTATGCTGCAGGATCTCCCTCTCTCTGCTGCTCTGTCTCTTGAGTCTCTTGGTTAGATATGTCCTGTACATGAATTATTAATGTTCAGGGACTGAGCTGCAGTGCTGGAGTTTTTTTCTGCTCCATTACTGCTCTCCCACTGGGTCCACAGCTTTACCTGTGAGCGGAGCTCCACTGCACCCTGACTATCACTGTAGCTATTTCCCTCTCTCTGAGTCCCGGTTGTCCGGCTCCTACAGTGAAACTTTCCATTAACACTGGGCTAAATATAATGAGCTATGCTATCATTGTAGATATTGCAAATTTATGCTTTCATCTTGTTATATTGATTATATCTACAAACTGGACCTTATTCTGAATTAGACATATTTTTATTAGGATGTTTACAAGTTTTTTATTCTATTTACATTACATCCATTGACTTGTTCACAGTACATGCGTTATCAAACAGCTGATAACTGCCATATATATTGATTGAGCAGTTAACCCATTAATGCTCCCTCGAACAAAATAATCATTAAACCAAAGCATGGTTTGATACAGTGTCTTGTTTGCTAAAACTTGATGAACATTACTGGAAAGAAAGAAACAACAAACTTTAAAGGTATTGGCTCTCACATGGTATGTTTCATGTTTCTTTCTGCTTCAGAGGCCTAAAAATGAAGACTTTAAGCTGCAACTTCATTGTATCAGATCAGACGAGCACTCCTCCTGCTCCTCAAACATGTCTCACACCTTCTTGGCTCGTGGCTCAGCACCAATTTCAAAGTCTGTGTCTAAATCTTCTAAGTCATCATCTAAGAAACTGCTGTACTTCAATATGGCTCCATGTCTATTGTTTTAGACAATAGACACGTTTAAGTATTTTCCACATGAATTCCAAATTGACAGGCTCATATTCTCTACATCTCCTTTCTGTCCTACCAAAGGTCACTTTGGTGCAATGTCATTTTCTCCCTCAACTGATTTAACTGCAGGAGCTGTTGTGATTTTACCTTGTGCTCAGGTTCATCCATGATCTGCCAGTCACATGGACACACACAATACATCCTGTCACTCTCTGGGCTTGGCTGTGGCTGAGTAGCTCATGATGACTCAACACTGTGACCTGTGTAAGCCAGACTCGACCCCTCAGAGCTTTGTGCACGAGGAGCGAAAGGTCATCGCTGACCTGAGGAGGAGCTGTTTTGTCTCTGAAAAGGTCGTGCTGGGCTTGAGTTGACACATCAGTGCAGGCATGTGCAGAAATCAGTCATGAGTATATCTCTGGCTTTAGTGTGGTACATTTAAAATAATTCCAATCTAGGAACTTATAAAAGAGACTTGTATGGTTATTGGCATGAAGAGAAACGGGGGAGTGAAATCTGCCTTTGGGGATTTGGGGATTTTGGCCATGCTATTGTTCAGACACTGAGCTCAGCGTGAGTGCCAAAAAAGTCACTCAAGAGCATTTAGCGTTTACCCACAAGGCTGTTTACCAAGAGCTATGCATCTTCCCAGTTTCTGTTTGTGTGTGTTGATGCCAAAAAGAAAGGGGTCGGGGGTGCACTCTCGTTGCTTGGCTTTGTGTATCTGCAGTGGCCGGGTTGTGGGTGGGGGCTCCCACGGCACTCAGAACTGGGTCAGAGGGATTAATTTCCTGGCCTGACCGATTGGAGCTAATGGCAGATTAGCATGGTAAGTTTCACTTCCAAAACAGCCCCTCCACCCACAAGACTGGTGGACAGGCCGCATGCTGCTTTTCACACTCTGGGGGCTCCAGGAATGTGTTTGTAGAGGGATGCCCCTACTCTGCGTGTGCACATATAATTTCTCACTGCTGACCCACAGCGGTGGAAGATACCACAAGAACATCTAAATGTCACAATGGCCGAAATAGACAATATTTATGCTGATTATTGTCCATTTCTTTCCAGATTTAAGCAATTCTCTCAATTTTATTTCAATCAGGAGTGACTTAGAGAAACACTAATGGGAAAAAGTAAAGTAGAATGAAAACAAAATTTAGTGTGAACACAGAAATGGTCTTTAATGCTAAGACCCCAGCAGGAAGTAGATCACCATGGACAAAGTCATATGAATTAGGAGCTTCTGATATGAAGACGACTGGGGCTTATAGACGTGGTGGTGATGATGAGGCTGTTGGGTTGGGACGTCTATGAGGAGCTTCTGGATGACGGTTGGAAGTAGACCGAGGAGGCATGTGCAAGAAGACTGAAAGTCGGTTGTCATTTCATAGATGGGATCTGATTTTCCATTCATGCATCATTGACAGGCCCACATGTTCATTGGGAAAGTACCGGAGGGTGCTGGTGTCCACTCATGTCCCTTATTTCCTACAGTGTATTTGCACAACAAAGGAACCGCTTCATGGCCAGTATGGAAAGGAGGATTATTTACGGTAACACTTTATATGTACACATGTCATACGAGCATTATATTGAGAACAAGTCGGAAAAAAATCTGATGCTCTCTCTTGAATCCCTCTGACCCTTTGCTTATTGCATAATACTAGTGCAGTGGCTGTTCTAGACCTGCCTGGTTGGAATGGGCAGTTTGCTTGTCCTGTGGTGATGCTGGGTGCAGCTTTCTTTCTGAGACTGACCTGCAGTAATTGAGCTGTAGCAAGTAACGACCTGCTGGAGTCCACAGAAGCCTGAAGCTGCACCACCACTGCTGCACAAATAGCTGTTGACCTGTAAAGTTTAACTCAGTACTCAGAATCACTTGTTGTTGCTGTTGTCGTCAACGTCACATACATTGAGTCCCAGTTGCCGCTACAATAGAGTGTTGGTCGCCTGTTTATTCAAAGTTTATTACTAGTGAACGTATCACATGTCCCATTCGCAGCAAATTCGAAACCGGGTCCTTAACAATACACATGTCAAGTGTGAAGCCGATAAGATGGATGGTTCTCGAGACACGATTTCCACAGACAGGCTTGTCTGGAATTAGTAGATAGATACTTCTTTTCATTTTGTGGAATCCAGCCCAAACATGTCCCTTGTTGATATCAGCTTCTTAACTGTGAGGATTTGCTGCGTTTCTTCTGTTTCATTTCATAATAAACTGAATGTGTGAGATGAAGAGCTCCCTTTGGCCTCTGGAAGACATGCGAATGGACAAATCGCTGTATATTCTCACAATCTAGAGCTGGAATGACTTATCATCGACAGATTTATAACCATTGAAAACAACCACTAATTGAAAAGAACAATAAAATACTCTAACAATAAAAGGTCAAGTTTAAACTGAGTTAATGATCTGTTTTGCATGTTCTCCAGTGGAGTGTCCTGTAAAAAAAGAGGAATGGTGAAACCAACTGTCTCTTCAGTCCAGCCTCTTCTCTCTTTGGGTGCTGCTGACATCAGTGGCTCTTTTGATGTGCGAGAAGTGAATTTAATTAGGTTTCGTACAGCGTCTGCAGACTTTTCCTCTCCTTCCCTTCCCTATCTCTCCTGCGCCTTCTGCGCCCGTCTGTTTATCAGCCTTTCATCAGGCCGGTGGTAATACCAGTGAAGCCTGTCTAAAGCTCCCTGAGCTGTGCAGTCTTACACCACACACACCGCACAGTTATGACTGCAACAGCTTGCACGCCTGCCAACATTAAAGCTGCACTCAGGGATTCAGGTTTTCTCAAGATCTTGTATTGTGGTTATTGTTTTATGTGTCTGTATTTTTAATTTGGAGACTAGTGGGAGTGTTGGTATCATGAAACTTCAGAAGAGAAGCAGCAACATCAGTATTTTTTTTTTTTTTCCCTAACCCTTCCTGGTCTTTCTGTTGGAGAGCAGAACTTTGTGTCACTTTCCCTAACAACCCTGCGCTCGCACTCTGATATGATTTTGAATATAAAATGAATGCTAGTGATGTTTTCAGTAGTGTGTTTCATCTAAATTGTATGAATTGAGTTCTTTACCCTACAATGGGACATTTACAGTTAAATACTTAATATTTACATCGGGAGAGGGTCCTCTCTACGGAGGCCGTCATGTTTTTTACAGTAGTCCAACTAAAAACCTTTTGAGTTTTGATGACAACTGAAGTTCACCGCAGGTTCTCTCTCATGTTTGGGTGGGGAGGATGAGGTGAGGGGTATTAAGCTGCAACATGCAACTTCACCACTAAATTCTACACATTTCCCTCTTATAGGAAAGTATCTTCCCTGTTAGTCTGTGGGCAATGCTTTATATACAGTGAACATATGTTGTGAATCCTTTTGTCATTTAGTGCCCATGACCCAGTGGCAAGAATTCAGGATTCTTGACTCAGCTATTATGGGAGTTGCCACATTTTGAAGTGCTGCATTGTTTCTTCAGGGGATGTTTTCAAGCTCCAGAGGATATTATGTCTGTGTGTTGCTAAAGCTGACCACATTACTTCTCCTTCTCGCTCTTCCTCTCATGTTCCTCAAATTTGCCCTTCATCTTAACATCGCCAGTATGAAGGGAAACTGCTGCTGGAACAATGAAATTCTACAGCAAATGAGCCAAAAAACGTGACTCACTCCCAATTTTCTCTACTCTCTTTTCAAGGTATTGGAAAGAACGTCATCTGCGACAGGACCGCCACGCCTCTGGATGCCTTCAGAATGATGTCAGCTGCCCAGTACTATCCCAAGTTACTGAGCATCATGGGAAATGTTCTGCGTTTCTTGCCAGCCTTTGTTCGAATGAAGGAACTCTTGGAAGAAGGGTACATTGGGGAGCTTCTGGTCTGTGAGGCCCAGGTGAGACGAAAATGAATTCTTGTTTTTAGATTTTCAGTTGATTTCTTGCAATTTATAATGACAACAAGAATTGGATACATTATTTAGAGGTTAGTCTGAGTTACAACAGGCGCTATACAAATGACAAGGAGTCTGCATCTTGCTTAAAGGCACTTTCTGACACCACCCAAATTGTTGTGTTTTTGTTGTCCTAACAAAAATACCTACTTTGTTAGCAAAATAACTTTCTAATTTCTTATTTTTGCCCTAAAGGTCCACAGTGGCAGTCTCCTGGGGAAGAAATACAACTGGAGCTGTGATGATCTGATGGGAGGTGGCGGCTTGCACTCGGTGGGCAGTTACATCATCGACCTGCTTACATTTCTGACGGGCCAGCGTGCAGCCAAAGTCCACGGCTTCCTAAAGACCTTCGTCAAACAGACAGACCACATCCAGGGCATCCGTCAGATCACCAGTGATGACTTCTGCACATTCCAGATGGTGCTGGAAGGAGGTGCCTGCTGCACGGTCACGCTCAACTTCAATGTACCTGGGGAGTTTCGCCAGGAGGTGATCGTTGTGGGTACAGTCGGGCGGTTAACAGTCACAGGGACGGACCTGTACGGACAGAAGAACAGTGGGGGTGAAGGGTTCGGTGGTGGCCCTGAGCTGCTGCTCAAAGACACCACACCTCTTGAGAAGGCTTCTTTGCCAGAGAAGGCCTTCAGTGACATTCCCTCACCGTATCTCACCGGGACGATCCGCATGATCCAGGCCGTGCGGCAGGCCTTTGAGGACCAGGATGACCGGCGGACGTGGGACGGGAGGCCTCTGACAATGGCCGCCACCTTTGAGGACTGCCTGTACGCTCTTTGTGTGGTGGACACCATCAAGAAATCCAACCAGTGTGGAGAGTGGCAGAACATTGTGGTGATGACGGAAGAACCAGAGGTCAGCCCGGCATATTTAATTAGTGAGGCCATGCGGCGGAGCAGGATGTCCCTCTACTGTTAGCATCCAGCTGATGTGCTAATATAGTAAAGGTGGCTGACTGCCTGTGTTATCCTGTGTTATCTTTAAATCTGGAGGTGGTGCTAGAAGGGTCTTGATATTGTTGGAACTTTTTTCATACAGCTCCCGGAGTATGTTTTTTTTTTTTTAAGATGTCATGTCTGTATTGTTGCTGTTACAGACCCAGAGGTTTTCCCCACTATTACCCAGAGAGTTATGGCTTCCTGTCACTTTGCCTCTACAGGAGAGGAAAAGCAATGTGATTAGTAATTAAACCTTTATTTATGAGGAAGTCTTTCCTGTTTCTTTTGACAGATGACTTGTGCCCTTTCAGAGGGGGATGCACCTGTAAATCAAACTGATTCATTCAACAGAAAGACGAGATACAGTCCCACAGCGGAGGCTGATGTGGGAGTGGAACTAAAGCTTCCGTGTTCTGCTTGGCCGTGAGGGTATTGCACCTCTCGTCTATGCTCCTCCTCTACGTGTATGTGTCTGGAAGTCAACACCTTTCACTGTGGGTCCGAATGAGGACAGCCGAGGAAGAACGACAGCCCTCACTGTTGAAACTGTACCGCTTTATTGTTGCTATAAATCTGAAAAACTTGCTAGTTTTACCAAGTGGATGTTTTAAAAAAAAAAAAAACAACTGTGTGCTTGATAGCTGCGGTCTCTGTCTGCTCTGTGTGCTTCCTCCGTAAGTGTGAAACAACAGAGGAAAAAAATCAATAGTTTGGCTGGTGGGATTTCAGAGGGTTTGACCCTCTGGTTCATGTATGCAATATATTCAGGCTGAAGTCAGCAGCAGACATACTTTTATCTTCCAGCCTGGAGTCAGGGGTTAGGATGCACTAAACGCTTTATGCAGTTACAGTAGCCTGTGCATCAGTTTGCGAGTCCTGTATGGGTGGCCAAAGGTTTATACCGTGCTTTTTCTGTCGTCATAAAGCATAGCCATAAAATACACTGACATCTGTGAGACCTGTTAGTTCATAATAGTCTCTAAATGTGGGTAATGATAAAGTCTTGCAGTAAGTTGCAAGTAAATACGTAGGGGGTTTTATCTGCATATTGCAATACAGTGGGTCACTGTTGCTGGAAGCTAATGTCATTATGTGACATGCTTTATTAAGCCTCTTCAACATGCACAGTTACACAGATTTGTCAGTGTGCAGTGGAATGTCATTGAGCAGTGGTAGATAGTGGAGAGTTGGAGTTTAAATGTCAGACGATCCCATGAAAAAAAAGTGAATTTGTTTCTTAGTACTTTCTGACTTCACAATTTAAGACCATTGGTTTATGAAGATGATCTATAAAGCTACACTAATCAGTATTTTTTAAAGAACAATGGCTCAAATGACTTATGTTATGTGAAAGGTGTTGCTAGAGAACTGGAGGTTATCACTTGACTATGCAGTTACCCTCAGCTTAAAGTAGCATTTTAACATCATTTGACTGATATTATCTTTAACTTAAGAGCCTCATTTCCAGCCTCATTTGTTTAATACACACACTCGCAGTTTTAGGCCAGTGTACAGTTCAAAAAACCCACTAACACCGACCAGCACCTGGCTTTTGTCTGCAGTGGGAATGGATACAATCAGTGTTGAGTCATAGGTCACATGACTCTGCAGTAGACAAAGGTTTTTATCAGCTCTGGTCCGAAGTGATGGAAACACCTGGGTGAACGTCATAATGTGGCATTTCGGTGCATTTGTGACATTGCACATTCAAAAAAACAGAAAGGGAAACTCCTTTAGTGGCAAATGGGAGAGGAGTCCATTGCCTTTTTGTAGCAGGTTTACCTACATTTAAAATAAAACCACGTACTCCTGCTAATTATAGTGTTAAAGAGGTGTCAGATATATACATATGATTGACTCAAATATCGTAGCTCTATGGCACAGATGATAAACATCAGGTTTTGCCTACATCATGAGTATAGTATTGTTGTTTTTTGTCTTTTCATGGGATTTCTTGACAATAAGTAAATATATATACAAGGAATAACACCAGATTTATCCTTCCACCCCTCAGAGGCAAAGCAAAGTTTAGAACAAAACGTGTGTATTATATCATATATCAGGATATTGTGTAAAATGAATATTGTGATAATTTATCATTTGCCGAAAATCCAACTTCTCATTGTGTTAACTGTCAGAAAGTATTTATTTTGACTCGAGGTTTGGCCTCACTCCATACAGGCGAACGAGCAACACTGACCTACAAAAGCCAAAAGATTGATTTTTTTGATTTTTTTTTTATGCATCTCTGTCCCTATGTGCGGTTTCAAGCTCTTAAGCTGTCCTGAAATACTATCTATGTAACGACTACTGAACATGACCATGTGAAAATATTATGAAACGATCTGTGTTTGTCTTAAGAAATAAAACAAGTACTGTATGTATTTTATTTTGTAAAAAACAAGGAACTGGAAGATGTTTTCGATGAGTGTTAAGGTATTTATTCTTTGTTTTTGCTGCTGTGTTTTTTGCAGACTGAGGCCCTCGGAGCATTGGGCTTCATAGTTTCCCCCATTTATGAATTATTTATCCAAATCCTGATGTTTTCCACACACGGGAAGCTTTATGTTTGAATTTAAGATCAGCGACGTGTCGTACTTTATACCAATCCAGCCTCACTACACTGTCCTCCAGTGCTCTCTCTGTGAAATAAAGCTGGTGGTTGTAGCTGTTCAGAGGTCAGAGTATCTAACAGCAGCGTTTGACCCATTTTTTTCTCTGTGATTTGATTCGATGCGTCACGCTGTACTTTAAGGTCAGGGCTCATTACAGTTCACGCTGTGGTGGGGTGAGCTACACACAACACTGGTGTGTTCAGGGGGGAAAAAAAGAGCGTCCACAACCAGTCTGCCTGGAAAAGCTCTGAGTCCAACTGATAAGCTATCTCTCTTTAAGATTGCTCAAGTTATTTTATTGACCCTTGTGAACTGAGCACCTTATCAAATCTGCATATAGACTTTCCCCCTTTGTCAGATAACGAGGCTCAAAATACAAACACCTGATTTCAATTAAGAACTGTCTAGTGGAATTCGTGGGTTTACTTCATCATCATCATTTTTATTATTTTCATGACTCCATTCTGTCGTAATCAGATTGGAGACATGTGAGTGAGAAGGTAACATTTTTTGTCATGATTTAAACTTGCAGCTCAGAGCAGACTCTGGATAGCCAGGCACTGTGTAGGAAATATACAGAAAAAAGTATTTAACACTATGGTTCTAATATTTAGGCATCATACGTTTTCTTTGCACCGTGAAACCTTTTAACACTTTATTACTCTCTGGTTTATCGTCCTGTGGTCTGTGTCTGATTTGGAGGTGAATGATTTCCTTTACCCGGAGACAACAGATGATTTGGGACGTTAGACAGGCGGTTGAAGAAAATCTCATTCAGAAACTGGTTTTATTATAAATATTGGGACTAAAGGGTCATACCATAACCCTCTATTGCATGGATTTTTACTTACTAACCTACTATATTTTTTTATTTCTTAAAAATGTTTAACTAATGGAAATAAAATAATTTAAAAAATACGTTGCTATTCTGCAATAATGCACTGTTGTGGAAAGTACCATAATACCAAGTAGCAATATGATAAATCCAATTTATGTTTAGTCAAATGCAGTACCCAATAGTTCTTTATAATTCATTGTTAATTGTTATTTAGATTGTATGACACAGGACATGATTTTCTTGAGCAAAAACAAATTACATTTTTTTCATATTGCTGCCTATCAGTAAAATTTAAAGACAGGACGTTTTTGCCAACACTATGCAATAGAGGGTTAATTACAGTTCGTTTTCAGTACCTGCTAAAAGGTTTTTCCCATTTGTGTCTTAATTGATCATCTGTTTTTAGACCACAGCATCTTAGCAGCTTAAACCCCTTTATTACCCAGGACTGCACAGCTTTCAGCGCATGAGTGTGAGATTCCACACACAAAAGAACCATTATGTTTCAGCTCGGGTCTCGTGCTGACATTAAATTAACTTTATTCAGAGTCGCGGGGTTAAGAAGAAGTAAAGAACCTGCAGCTGCTCAAATCACTGACTAAATCACTTCTGATTTACTTTCAGTTTGTGGTAACTGGAGGTTTATCCACAAACTCATCGTCCTCCATGGAGACTCGGTTTAACAGCTCAGCAGACTCATCGTCACCCAGCTGCCCCTCTGTGGTCACTGTATCATCAACACCAAGCTCTTCACTTCAGTCAGTGCAGGTGGTCAGCAAAAATATGGAACCAGAAAAATATTGAAATTCAGAAGTGCAGGAATCTAATGGATCCTGGAGTCACTGTGATGCTGATGATTAAAGTGATGCAGGAGGGAATTGTTCCCACGTCACACACCGGACATACTTACAACCATTTGCTGCTCATGCCTGAACCATCTACCCAGATTCACACTAATGAAAGCGCAAAGGGCAGCGCTCTAAATATAGAAACTATCTATCCAGCTGTTACTGTACAGTATATGAGGATCTGATGCATTTTAAATGATCAAATATTTGTTTTTGATAATTATTTCCTGACTGATTGTCTCATGTCTTCTTTTTAAATATTGAATCGTTGGATATTCTTTTACGCTCAATGAAAGGGATATCACAGGTCAAAGCTGATGTGTTGAACATGATGTTGGATGTTTCACCACTGACGTAAAGGCCTGGGAAAGAGGAATTGATCCTTTGTTTGGAATCATGTTGCCGAGAACTGTTCAGTTTACATTTCAGCTCAGTGTCTGTGGCCTGTTGAGGACGTGTGTCAGAAAAAGTTCCATCTTTGCTACAGTCACCAATCTCTGTCATTCGCCAACACTCAGGCCTTCGCTCGCTGAGGGAGAGGAGGAGGGTGGAGGTGGACTCGGGGGGGGGGGGGTCCTTCATTTTCAGAGCCGAGCGACCTCAAAGAGTCGCTTCCTCTGCCCTCAGAGACCGTTACTTAGCAACCGCAAGCCACATTGCCAGAGCTATAGGACCTGACTT